CATGAATCACCGCGCCTGGCCCTTTTTTTTTTTTTGAGATGGAGTCTCGCTCCATTGCCAGGCCAGATTGCAGTGGTGCCATCTCAGCTCACCGCAAGCTCTGCCTCCTGGGTTCAAGTGATTCTCCTGCCTCGGCCTTCCAAGTAGCTGGAAGTACAGGTGCACCCCACCATGCCCAGCTAATTCTTGTATTTTTAGTAGAGACAGGGTTTCACCATGTTGGCCACGATGGCCTCGATCTCTTGACCTCGTGATCCGCCTGCCTTGGCCTCCCATAGTGCTGGGATTACAGGCGTGAGCTGCCTCACCAGGCCCAGGGACTTCTTAAACTATGTAATACCATCCCCGACCTTGCAAAAGACATTCTCTTTATCCAGGTTCCCTTGGATTTTAATTGAAAACTGTTGTTGTTGAGTAGCTTTAGCTTTTCTTTGGATTTGAATATAGAAATTTCTTTGCAGATAAATTGTTTTTTGGACTAGAATACCAAGCTCTTGTTTTCCATAAGCTATATAAATAGTACCAAAATCACAAACATATTAAGCATTTTCTTCTTTTTTTTTTTTTGGAGACAGAGTCTCACTTTGTCACCCAGGCTGGAGTGCAGTGGCGCAATCTCAGCTCACTACAAGCTCCACCTCCCGGGTTCACACCATTCTCCTGCCTCAGCCTCCCGAGTAGCTGGGACTACAGATGCCCACCACCACGCCCGGCTAATTTTTTGTATGTTTAGTAGAGACGGGGTTTCACCGTGTTAGCCAGGATGGTCTTAGCCAGGATGGTCTCGATCTCCTGACCTCATGATCCGCCCGCCTCGGCCTCCCAAAGTGCTGGGATTACAGGCGTGAGCCACTGCCTCTGGCCCATTCTCTTCTTTAATCTGATTAAGAGTCATGAAAATAATACAGCCTATATCTTTGATTAAATTTAATTAGTGTTAAGTGCAGAAAGGAAGTACAATTTGGGTGCCTTCTGTTACAGTGTTTGAAGCTGTGTAATAGGTGTTTTTTGCAGCTTCCAGAAAGGATGCATCTCCCTTTTTCAGCCGACACTGTCAGGTTTTTGCCTATAATTTAATTATTGCTTTTTTTTTAATTTAAAGAAATTTTCTTTTACTTTTTAAAAAAATTATACTTTAAGTTCTGGGATACATGTGCAGAATGTGCAGGTTTGTTATATAGGTATACATAATTCTTGCTTTTAGAGCATTATGGATTAGGGGATTATCCGATTCTTATTGATTTTTCTGTCAATTCTTAATTCCAGTTTCTTTTTTTTTTGAGGTGGAGTTTCGCTCTTGTTGCCCAGGCCGGAGTGCAATGGTGCGATCTTGGCTCACCACAACCTCTGCCTCCCGGGTTCAAGTGATTCTCCTGCCTCAGCCTCCTGAGTAGCTGGGATTACAGGCATGCTCCACCACGCCCAGCTAGTTTTGTATTTTTAGTAGAGGGGGGTTTCTCCCTGTTGGTCTCGAACTCCCGACCTCAGGTGATCCGCACACCTCGGCCTCCCAAAGTGCTGGGATTATAGGCGTGAGCCATTGCTCCTGGCCTTTTTTTTTTTTTTTTTTTTGGAAACAGAGTCTTGCTCTGTCACCCAGCTGGAGCACAGTGGCGCAATCATAGCTCACTGCAGCTCCAAACTCTTGGGCTCAAGGGATCCTCCTGCCTCAGCCTCCTGAGTAGCTGGGACTGCAGGCCTGGCTAATTTTTAAAATTCTTATACAGACAGGGTCTTCCTGTGTTGCTTAGGCTGGCCTTTGACTCCTGACCTCCAGGGATCCTCCCATGGCAGTCTCTCGAGTCCCTGGGAATACAGGCATGAGCCACCACCTGGGATTACAGGCATGAGCCATACCTGGCTCATTTTGTTTTTATACAATTTAAAATATTTGTATGGTTTTATTGTATCATGACTTTCATATGAAAAACTATAAGAGTATTTATATGACTTCTTTTTGTAAAAGTCCTGTCTTCGAAACAAATTGTTTATCATAATGTTTGCACTTTTAAAAACAAGTTATTTATTTAATTTAGAAGATGCTACTAGAAAAACATTTTTGAAATTTTGTGGGTTATATTCTGCTACAGGAGGTGTACACTTTTGTGAAGTTCATGCAAAGATGTAATAATGTATTCCTTTCTTATTCTTAAGAGACAGGATCTTGGTCTGTTGCCCAGATTAGAGAGCAGTGGCAAAATCATGGCTCACTGCAGTCTCGAATTCCAGGTCTCAAGTGATCTTCCTGCCTCTACCTCCTGAGTAGCTGGGATTACAGGTGGGAGCCACCATACCCAGCTAATTAAAAAAATTTTTTTGTAGGCTGGGTACAGTGGCTGACGCCTATAAATATAGCATTTTGGGAGCCAAGGCAGGTGGATTGCTTGGGCCCAGGAGTTCCAGACCAACCTGGGCAACATGGCGAGACCCTGTCTCTACGAAAAATATAAATATTAGCTGAGCAAGGGGTTGTGCGCCTGTAGTCCCAGTTACTGGGGAGGCTGAGGTGGGAGGATCACCTGAACCTTTGTAGAGACATGGTCTTGCTCTGTTGCCCAGCTGTCTCGAAGTCCTAGCCTTAAGTGATCCTCCTGCCTTGGCCTCCCAAAGTGGTGGTATTACAGGTGTGAGCCATCATGCCTGGCCTAATTTACTTCTTTAGGATGTTTTAAAGCAAAGCTTTTTTTGATTGGTTAAGAGTAAAGTTTTGTTGTTGCTTTTAAGTCTAACTTAAAATGTATTAAACTAATATGCAGTAGTATTTGTAAACTTTTTCATATATTAAGAGTTGACAGTTATGTTACCGGTGGAGGAACATGTCCATTTGGATACTGAATTTTTTTCCCATTTGGAACAGGATAACCTACTAAGGAAGTGAGCAAAACACTGTCTACCTTTGAGAGTAAGAGCTGGCTGGGCACGGTGACTCATGCCTGTAATCCCAGCTCTTTGGGAGACTGAGGCAAGAGGATCACTTGAGCCCAGGAGTTCAAGACCAGCTTGAGCAACATAAGGAGACCCTATCTCTACAAAAAATAAAAACAGATTAGCCAGGTGTTGTGGTGCACACCTGTAGCCCCAGTTACTGGGGAGACTGAGGTGGGGAGGATCTCTGGCGCCCAGGAGTTGGAGGTTGCAGTGAGCTGTGATTGTGCCACTGGGCTCCAGCCTGGGCAGCAGAACAAGACCTTGTCTCAAAAAAAAAAAAAAAAAAAAAAAAAGGTAACAATGTTCTAGAAACACATTAAGGACACTTAACCCAAAGTGCAGAGGTTGGAGTCAGGGAAGGCTTCCTTGAGAAACTGGTCATCGAGATGAGCCTAAAAGAGAGTTGAAGTTGTGAGGCAGATGGAGCCTGAGGTGGGGGGACTTCAGCATTGCAGCAGGATTACCTGTGGAGTGCAGGGGCACAGTGGTAGGAGGGGAGGTCAGAGCTGTGGGAGGGGCTGGCTGTGGACTGCATGCCTCTCCCTAGGACTGACTTGAGCATCCTGTGAAAGGTTTGCAGTGCGGGAGGGACACAGACTAATTTGTGCTTTGGGAAGGACACTCTGGCTGTGTGTGTATAGCAGCAATGAAGGGAAGGGGGTGCAGAGTGGGGAGTCGAGACTAGGCGGAGGCTGCTGAGGTGACTGCTGTTGGGATAGGAGGAGCAGCTCAGATGCTTTCTTTTCTTTTTTTTTTTGTTTGAGACGGGGTCTCACCCCGTCCCCCAGGCTGGAGTGCAGTGGCGTGATCTCGGCTCATTGCAACCTCTGCCTCCTGAGTTCAAGTGATTCTCCTGCCTCAGCCTCCCGAGTAGCTGGGACTACAGGCCCCCGCCATCATGCCCAGCTAATTTTTTGTATTTTTAGTAGAGACAGGGTTTCACCGTGTTAGCCAGCATGGTCTCCATCTCCTGACCTCGTGATCCGCCCGCCTCGGCCTCCCAAAGTGCTGGGATTTCAGGTGTGAGCCACTGTGCCCTGCCAGATGCTGTATTTTCTTATGGGGAGGGTCTGTTAGCAGGGGCCATCCTGACACTGCCTTGTGGCCAGGAAGGAGACAAACGAAGGCTGGCATTTCTCCTTCTTTCTGCATCTGCCTTACATCATGATCTTTATTCTTTATTCCAAACACATGTAGAATGGAAAAGCTAAATTCCAGAGCAACAAAGAGTTTGTTGAACTCGTTAGAGTTAGACATGATAGGATTTAACATTATATTGAGATGTGTCAGTAACATTCATTTACTTAAAAAAGGTCACATCTTCTGGATTTCCAAAGGAGTTTTATTCTTGATAAGACTGCTTTCTTGATGAGGGAAAGTTTAATCCAGCTGCAGTTTTTCTTTTTCAAAAAATCATCTGTCTTAAGAAATATAACATTGGAAGATTAGAAGTGTTTAAAAATGATAAAAGGAATATTTTGGTACAGTTGCTTTGGCTTCTGAGTTGATAGGGACTCAGAAGCCTTTGCATTATTTAATAGCGTATCATTGCCAATGTTTAAAGAGCTGTTAGTGGGCACCCCAGGCCCTGCCCTCTGAACGCTTTCGTAAAGCTTGCCCTGAAATAGTGAGGATAAACGTCTTATTTGCTAAAGCCAAATGGTTGGCTAATAAGACGCAGCCTAGCTCTCTTTATAAAATAATAATAAGTTTGATATTAAGTGGAAGATAGTTGATTTTTTTAAAAAGCTGAAACATAAACTTCTTTATGCTAATGTTACAACTGAAAAATCTAAAAAGAAAAATCCAACTCTAACATTGCCTACGTGAAATACATGGTAGAAGTCCTTACGTACCTATCACCTTTAAAAAAATTGCCTGGAGTACATTTTTGAAGTCAAGACAACTCCGGCTCACATAACTGGCAATGATTATTGCTGACTTAAAATTATAGAGCCTACAGTTGCCTTCTTAGGATTTTTAGTAGTGAGAGAATGGAATAGTGCTTAGTCAGAGTGCTTTCTGGGTGGGAGTTGTATAGTAATAAAGATACATTTTCATTTATTTTCTAGACATTACAAGAAGCGGTGCCAAGGCCGCATGCGGAAGCACGTGGGGGACCTGTGCCTGCAGGCGGGGATGCTGCAGGATTCCCTGGTACATTACCACATGTCAGTGGAGCTGCTGCGTTCCGTGAATGACTTTCTGTGGCTTGGAGGTAAGATGAGCTGATGAAGATGATCTGATATGTAATTGTTGCAACTGTTATTTAAAATGAGAGGCCGGGCTTGGTGGCTCACGCCTGTAATCCCAGCACTTTGGGAGGCTGAGGCGGGTGAAACATGAGGTCAAGAGATTGAGACCATCCTGGCCAACATGGTGAAACCCCGTCTCTACTAAAAATACAAAAATGAGCTGGGTGTGGTGGTGGCACCTATAATCCCAGCTACCCGGGCGGCCGAGGCAGCAGAATTGCTTGAACGAGGAGGCAGAGGTTGCAGTGAGCTGAGGTTGTACCACTGCACTCCAGCCTGGCAACAGAGCGAGACTCCGTCTCAAAATAAATAAATAAATAAAAAAAAGAAATGAGAGGAAATGGAAAAAGAAAGTCCCCAAAAAGGAGGGATGAGGGAGGAAAAGCAGCCAGCCTGTGGTGGTTGCCATGAGCAGGCAACCTGGGGTGCTTCCCTGCCGTATCCGCTGCCCTCCTCCCGCCGCGCCATGTGTCCCCTGAAGGAGGCCCTGCCCACGCTTTCCCTTTTCCTCTGTTCTTAGTATAACTTGCCCTCTGCTTTGGATGCCATTCCCCGTGATCTTCACCTCTTAGACTCATCCCTCAAAACTTCCTCCATGTGTCACACGATGAATGGATAAACGAAATGTGGTATGGGCATACAGCGGAATATTATTCTGCCATGAAAAGGAGTGAAATTGTGATACCACTGCAGCACGGATGAGCCTTGACGACTTTGTGCTAAGTGAGAGAAGCCAGACATGAAAAAGGCCACAGATTGTATGGTTCTATTTATATGAAGTGGCTAGAATAGGCAAATCTATAGAAGCAGAAAGTAGACGACTATTTCTAGGGGCTGGGAAGAGGGGGAATGGGAAGTGACTGTTAACGGGCATAAGGTTTCTTTTTGGGGTGATGAAAATGTTCCAGAGTCAGATAGTGGTGATGGTTGCACAGTTGTGAATGTACTAAAAACTGCTGACTTGTACACTTTAAGTGGGTGAATTATATGGTGTGTGAACTCTATGTCAATCTTAAAAATTAAAAGAAAGGCAAGAAGAAATCCTACTTCAAAGCACAGCCATCTCCGATCCCCCACAGCAGTCGGCAGAGCAGGTGCTCTACCTGAGATGTTGCCGACACTCTGTGCTGGAATTGGATGTCTGTGTGTGGTCTTCCCTTTGGGGACTGCGCCTCCTGGGGGTGGTCCTGGGAGGATGGACTGGCTGTGTCCATTGCCTGACATGTTGCAGATGCTCCCTAAATGCTTGTTAAAAGAACAATGTGTGAGTAAGGACTAAAGCAGGGTTCTTTCGTTGAAGTTGACAGTTTAACAAGGACGCCTGTCAACCACTTACGATAATACAAGTCAGAATGAAGTAATGACGTGAGTTCTGTAACAGAAGTTTAATGAGGTGCTATAGAACATACTAAATACAACAAATGCTTTCTTTCTTGGGGACAGAGTCTTGCTCTGTTGCCCAGGCTGGCGTGCAGTGGCATGATCTTGGCTCACTACAATCTCCATCTCCTGGGTTCAAGTGATTCTCCTGCGTCAGCCTTCTGAGTAGCTGGGACTACAGGCATGCACTACCACACCCGGCTAATTTTTGTATTTTTAGTAGAGATGGGGTTTTGCTATGTTGGCCGGGCCGCTCTTGAACTCTTGACCTCAGGTGATCTGCCTGCCTTGGCCTCCCAAAGTGCTGGGATTGCAGGCATGAACCACTGTGTCCAGCCAAATATAAGAAATACTTCAAATGGCCAGGCACAGTGGCTCATGCCTGTAATCCCAACACTTCTACAAAAAATAAAAAATAAAAAAACCTTACTTCACCTCACTTCTACAAAACAAAATTAAAAAACATTAGCTGGGTGGAGACCAGCCTGAGCAACATAGGGAGTCCTCACTTCTACAAAAATAAATAAATAAATAAACTAATTAAAAAACATTAGCTGGGCTTGGTGGTCTGTGCCTGTAATCCCAGCTACTTGTGAGGTGAGGCAGGAGGATCGCTTGGGCTCAGGAGGTCAAGGCTGCAGTGAGCCATGATCTCACCACTGCAATCCATCCTGAGCAAGAGTGAGACTTTGTCTCTTAAGAAAAAACAAAAACAAAACTTAAAATGGACTTAAATTTAGTTTTTTAAATAGGCTAGAGAAATAAAAGTAGGGAAAGAAAGGGAGTGAGCATTAGGGATGGAAAAGAAAAGAGAAGCAGATAAAGGATTAAGCAGTCTGAGAAAGACATAGTTTTACTTGGTTTTCTTGAAAGAGTGCTGTCTCCCTAAGTACTCCCTATTGTATCGATTGGAGAATCTATGCGTTTCCCAGTGGGCTCTGAGACTAGGGTCTGTGCAGCAGGTGCTTCTCCAGAAAGACTGGTACCGTCCATATGCCTTCCCCATGCGGCGCTGGACTGGATCAGGAGGACTCCTTAAGGGCACACAGAGAAGGACGGTGCTGTGTGCCATGGGTCTCTTCCATGCTCAGCCTCTCAGAAGTGGACAGGGGAGTTGTCCAGAAGCTCCTTATGCCTGACATCACAGCAGACTGAATGTAGAAGCCGATAGAAGATCCAGCTAACTTGTATTAACTCTGACATTAAAGAAATATATGAACATGTCAAACAGTGCTATTCCTCCAGTATTTTATTTTTGTTTTGGAACACAATTATTTTTCATAAAAATGTTTACACATGACAAGCTTATTATTTTATTTTTTATTTTTATTTTTATTTTTTTGAGACAGAGTCTCACTCTGTCGCCCAGGCTGGAGTGCGATGGCGTGATCTCAGCTCACTGCAACTTCCATTTCCCAGGTTCAAGAGATTCTCTTGCCTCAGCCTCCCGAGTAGCTGGGGCTACAGGTGTGTGCTATCATGCCCAGCCAATTTTTGTATTTTTAGTAGAGTTGGGGTTTCACCATGTTGGCCAGGCTGGTCTTAAACTCCTGACCTCAAGTGATCCACCCACCTTGGCCTCCCAAAGTGCTGGGATTACTGGCATGAGCCACCATGCCTGGCCTATTTTAAAAGAAATTAATACATAAATACTTAAATCCTTTTCTCAGTTTTATTTTCCAACATGGTAAATATCTACAGGTGTAACCCATATCACAAAAAAGCTCTTTGTGATCCTCATTTTTAAGAGCATCAAGGAGTTTCTAGACTGAATTAATGGATAAAGTTGATAGAGATGAACACTGCGGCACACCTTATAAGGCATGTGGCATAGCTGGAGATTGTTAGGTTGTCACGCCGTGAGAGAAGAACGGGCTGCGTAGCGAGTTGATATGGCTGTTTTTGAGGAAGAGGGAGGTCTACAGCCTCAAAAGGAGCAGATGCCTAGGGGGCGCGTGGTCTGGAAAGGCATTCTGGTCTTGCTTTGGTGCTATTACTGTGAAATATTTTCAGTCCAGAGCACTTTCTGTTACACATCTCTGCAGCTCCAGAACCTGGCGCAGTCTGCCGCGCAGTCTGTGTGGGAATGCCGGCCATGTGAATGGATGAACACAGGCTGGCCTGTTTCACGTGTGCACTCAGCCCTGCAGGGAAACCTTGAGTGTGGTGAGAGTGTTCCGTGTTGCCTGCCTGGACATGGGCATGGGAAAGACAGGTGGCAAGTTCCCATTTGCAAAAAACTAGTGATCTTTAGGTTTGAACTCTGTTTTGGGAGAAAAATTGGCTTTTCCAAATAATCCACCTGTTTAAATCATTCTTAGCCCCTGCAGTTTGAGCTAATGATGGGTCACTGACTTGCCTAATGATGCTGGTTTTTGTTTTTGTTTTCTTAATGCCCAGCTGCCCTGGAAGGATTGTGTTCAGCTTCTGTCATCTATCACTATCCTGGTGGAACTGGTGGGAAGAGTGGAGCTCGGAGGTTCCAGGGCAGCACACTTCCTGCTGAAGCAGCCAACAGACACCGGCCAGGTGAGCTCTGCTCTTTTTCCAGCCTCTGCTCACTTGCAGTCTTTAAATAAAGCAGACTCATTTGTTACTTTTTTCTTTGAGTTAGGACTAATATTTAAATAAACTGTAAAATCTGTTGAGTCAGAAATATTTATTTTATTTTATTTTATTTTCTATTTTTTTTTTTGAGACGAAGTCTCGCACTGTCACTTGAGCTGGAGTGCAGTGGCGCGATCTCGGCTCACTGCAACCTCCGCCTCCCAGGTTCAAGTGATTCTCCTCCCTCAGTCTCCCGAGTAGCTGGGATTACAGGTGCCCACCACCATGCCTGGCTAATTTTTTGTATTTCTAGTAGAGACGGGGTTTCACTATGTTGGTCAAGCTGGTCTCGACTGCTTGACCTCATGATCCACCCGCCTCGGCCTCCCAAAGTGCTGGGATTACAGGCATGAGACACCGTGCCCTGCCCAGAAATCTTGTATGAGACATTTTGTTCTGATTTTATTGAATATTTTCAATCTTATTGAATACACTAATGGGTTAGAATGATTAATTTCTGGAATAATTGTGTAAAATTTCCTGGTATAACAGACTTGAGGTTCTGTGCCTAAGTCTTTTTATAATTTTATGTATTAGGAGAAACTAGTCCCAGAGGTCAATTTTAATGCTGATTCAGGGCCTGGGAGCAGTTTCTTATTTATTTATTTTTTTTGAGATGAAGTCTTGCTCTGTTGCCTAGGCTGGAGTGCAGTGGCGCAATCCCGGCTCACTGCAAGCTCCGTCTCCTGGGTTCACACCATTCTCCTGCCTCAGCCTCTCTAGTAGCTGGGACTACAGGTACCCGCCACCATGCCTGGCTAATTTTTTGTATATTTAGTAGAGACGGGGTTTCATCGTGGTCTCGATCTCCTGACCTTGTGATCCGCCCACCTCGGCCTCCCAAAGTGCTGGGATTACAGGTGTGAGCCACTGCGCCTGGCCGCAGTTTCTTATTTTATTGGCTGGTGACGTTCTTTCAATGAGTCGTTTGATTTGCTTATGCTTGGTAGAACCAATGAAGAGTGAAAAAACTTGGGCAGAGCAGACCCATGAATGTTGAATGAACATGAATGTTTTGGTCCTTGATGAATGAACCTGCCTTTAATAGCTCAGGATTAAGTCATCATGTTGCATAGGTCACATAGATCATACCAAATAATGCAGAGCTCCAGGCCATACACAAAAATGCTAGGATTTTTTTTTTTTTGTCCGTGAGATTTTTGTACATTTTTCCCTCCAGACAAAAAAGGGTAGTTAGTGTGTATTGGATGGGGAATGTCTTGCATTTCTTTTTCCATGAATTGTATTATCCCGTATCAGCAGCAGAGAATGCAGAGGCTGCCTTGATGAGCTAGTGACTGTAGCCACACTGTCTGAAGCCATATGTTGTCTATGTAGATTTGCTTAGATGAACTATAATGATTCTTGAAGACAATTTTATTATTCTGTCGTGGGACGTTCCTCTTGGTAGCATCTCAGTTATTGAAGAGGAAAGTGAGGCAGGCTGAGGGTGCTGTTGAAAGTCTGAAGGTTTAAACAGGCAGGTCCCTGCTGCTTGCATCCTGTACTGTGACCTGACTTGGATGCACCCCATTAGTGTCCACCACCTGTGTTTACTCCTCATGGTTATAATTGCTGTCTCTGGTATGAGATGGCAGTGGTTTAAGTTTCACTGTTTTCTTAGCAACCAAGTGCTAAAATCTCCAACACATCCAGAAAGGTGAAAGCAGGTTTAATTTTCTCTTTACAAGAAAGTTTTCTGGGTTGGGTGCGGGCTCACGCCTGTAATCCCAGCACTTTGGGAGGCTGAGGAGGGCAGATCGCTTGAGGTCAGGAGTTTAAGACAAGCCTGGCCAACATGGTAAAACCCCATGTCTACTAAAAATGCAATAATTAGCTGGCCGTGGTGGAGCATGCCTGTAATCCCAGCTACTTGGGAGGCTGAGGCAGGAGAATTGCTTGAAACTGGGAGGGCGTCAGCTGGAATCATGCCATTGCACTCCAGCCTGGCCTGGGTGACAGAATGAAACTTTGTCTCAAAAAAAAAAAAAAAAAAAAAGGTCTCTGTTCTCTCTAGGAGCGCCTTTCTTTTTTTTTTTTGAGATGGAGTTTTGCTCTGCTGCCTAGGCTGGGGTACAGTGGTGTGATCTTGGCTCACTGCAACCTCTGCCTCCTGGATTCAAGCAATTCTCCTGCCACCCAAGTAACTGGGATTACAGGCGCCCGCTACCATGCCCAGCTAAGTTTTGTATTTTTAGTAGAGATGGGGTTTCACCATGTTGGCCAGGCTGGTCTCAAACTCCTGAGCTCAGGTATCCACCTGTCTCAGCCTCCCAAAGTACCGGGATTTCAGGTGAGAGCCACCGCACCCGGCTTAGGAGTGCCTTTCACTGGAGGTGGTTAGGTGTTTTTTTTTGCTTTTTATTTTTTTAAACTGTGGTTTGAAGAGCTGTAAATGTGTTGAAACTGTTTCACCGATGTGATGAGTAAGACCAGAAACTTTTTAGGGCCACATTTTATTTCTTCCGTTTCCTAATTATGGGCAAATAAAATTTAAAGACATTGAAACACTGCTTTGTCTGTAGTAGAGAAATGTCTTCATTTAGATTTGCATAGAGTAAAAAACTTGGGAACTTTTTTCTGTTGAAAGACATTCTGTGGGGAAGAATATCTGGTGACAATGACACTTAGATGACAGGAGAAAGGGCAATGGGGCTGTCATTTAGAAACTTGGTAGGTTGGGCATGGTGGCTCATGCCTGTAATCCCAGCACTATGGGAGGCAGTGTGGGGAGGATCACTTGAGGTCAGGAGTTTGAGACTAGTCCAGCCAACATGGTGAAACCCTGTCTCTACTAAAAATACAAAAATTAGCCAGGCGTGGTGGCTCATGCCTGCAATCCCAGCTACTTGGGAGGCTGAAGCAAGAGTTGCTTGAACCCATGAGGTGGAGGTTGCAGTGAGCTGAGGTCGCACCACTGCACTCCAGCCTGGGCAATGAGTGGGATTCTGTCTTAAAAACAGAAACTTCGTAGGTTGGGCACCATGGCTCATGCCTATAATCCTGCACTTTGGGAGGCCGAGCGGGGAGGATCACTTGAACCCTGAGTGTTCTACACCAGCCTGGGCAACATAGGGAGACCTTGTCTATATAAGAAATTAAAAAAAATTAGCTGGGAGTGGTGGCATGCACCTGTAGTCCCACTTAGGAGGCTGAGGTGGGAGGACTGCTTGAGCCCAGGAGGTTGAAATTGTAGTGAGCTGTGATTGCACCACTAGATTCCAGCCTAGGTGACAAAGCGAGACCCTGTGTCAAAAAAAAAAAAAAAAAAAAAAAAAAAAAATTATAAAGCTTGGCAATTATTTGACTACCTTCGAGGCAATACAGCATCCAGATCTGTTAATGGGCATGATCTCAGGAACAGATATGCCATCTCATCTTGGACATTAATCTCAAGATTAGTCAGTTTGTAGTGGCAGCCTCATCTCACATCAGGAATTAATGGCCTCTGTTGTTTGAGATGAAGACCAACCTGATGATTTAACATCCTCCCTTGTATTTCATGGAATGAATATCTTAGGTCCCAGTTTCAGCAGCAAAACAGCAAAAATACAGATGTCAGTCAATATCAGTGTAACCTGCAGCAAGTTGTTTAGTCTCTTTGTGCCTCAGTTTTCTTTCTTTCCTTTTTTTTTTTTTTGAGATGAAGTTTCACTCTTGCTGCCCAGGCTGGAGTGCAACGGTGCAATCTTGGCTCACTACAACCTCCGCCTCGTGGGTTCAAGCGATTCTGCTCCCTCAGCCTCTGAGTAGCTGGGATTACAGGCGCCTGCTACCACGCTCAGCTAATTTTTTGTATTTTTAGTAGAGGTAGGGTTTCACCATGTTGTCCAGGCTAGTCTCGAACTCCTGACCTCAGTTGATCCACGCGTTGGCCTTCCAAAGTGCTGAGATTACAGGCGTGAGCCACCACGCCCAGCTTAGTTTTCTTTTTTTTCTTTTCTTTTTTGAGATGGGGCCTTGCTCTGTTGCTTAGCCTGGAGTGCAGTGGTGCGATCTTGGCTCACTGCAACCCCTGCCTCCCAAGTTCAAGCAATTCTCGTGTTTCAGCCTCCCGAGCAGCTGGGACAACAGGTGTGTACCACTGTGCCTGGCTAATTTTTTGTATTTTAGTAGAGACAGGGTTTCATCATGTTGCCCAGGCTGGTGTTGAACTCCTGAGCTCAGGCAACTGGTCTACCTCGACCTCCGAAAGTGCTAGGATTATAGGCATGAGCCACTGCGCCCAACGCTATGCCTCAGTTTTCTTATCTGTAAAATGGGGAAGATAACAGTAGTCCTTACCTGATACGGTTGTTGTGAAGGTTGACTGAGTTACACATATGAAGGTCCTAGAACCCTCCTCACCAAGCACTTGGTAATGTTAGCAGCTATTGTTATTATTATTATTATTTCTTGAGACAGGGTCTGTGTTGCTCAGGCTGGAGGCAGTGGTGCACTCACTGTACTCACTTGCTCACTGCAGCCTCCACCTCCTGGGCTCAAGGGATCCTCCCACCTCAGCCTTCTAAGCAGTTGAGACTACAGGTGCATGCCATCATGCCTGGCTAAATTTTTTTGTATTTTTTGTAGAGGTTTTGCCATGTTGCCTAGGCTGTCTCAAGCTCCTGGGCTCAAGTGATCGGTCCACCTTGGTCTCTCAATGTGCTGGGATTACAGGTGTGAGCCACTGCACCTGTCTTTATTATTACCAATATTATTATTGCTGATTATCAAATAGTAACATGAATTCAGGAATACTATGAAAAGACTCTAGACAGCTCAGATCCAGGTTCCGTAGTTTCAAACAGTTTCCTATGAGAAAGGGAAGTTTTATTTCTTGTTAAAACTGAGTTATCTTAGTTTATTTTTTATTTTTTTATTTTTTTTTGAGATGAGAGTCTCGCTCTGTTGCCCAGGCTGGAGTGCAGTGGTGTGATCTT